CAACCTCATACTGCTGACCAGAAATTATGGGTCCATTTCTTTCAAGAGAGTTTGGATGAAACTCAACTTGAATGGTTCTATCAGATCGAAGAAACCAACATTCACACATGGGAAGACTTGGCTGCTACTTTCTACAAGCAGTATCAATATAATGCTGACCTGGCACTGACTCGAGTGTAACTTCAAAACATGCCTATGGGCTCGAATGAAGGGTTCAAGGAATATGCAAAAAAATGGAGGGACTTAGCTAGAAGGGTGAAACTTCCTTTGACTGATAGGAATTGGTAGATATGTTCATGGGCATGTTGACAAGCCCATTCTTTAATCTGTTAATTGAAAGCTCGTCGCTTGGTTTTACGGAGCTGATTCTGACTACAGAAAGAGTTGAAAGTGGTATTAAGAGTGGGAAGATTTCAATGGCTACATCTTATAATGTTGTGAAGAAGCCATTCAGTGGTAAAAAAATTCAATATTGTTTATAGCCATAAGGGGCTTAGTAAAAGTGATCGCCATCGGTCTGTGGGAACAGTGTTGATCTCTAATCCAGCGTCTTTAAAAAAATAACAACAGGGCAACCGATGAAGGCCAGAAGCTCCGTTAAGAGAATTCACCAAGATCGGCATGTCTTTATCTCAGGAATTGCAATATTTGTTAAAGGATGAACTCAATTCATTGCGGGTCCTCCTCAGAACCCCAACATATCCTCTCCAAAGTACAATCTAAACGTGAGGTGTGCCTATCATTCGAACAGTCCTGGACACGACACTAACAACTGTTGGGCCCTGAAAAGCAAGATTCAGGATATGATTGATAATAAGGAAATTAAGTTTGATCCTCCGGAGACTCCAAACATGATTACTGAACCTATTTCGAAGCATGACAAGGGCATAAGTGCTATTGAAGATGTTATGTATGTTACCTCTGTAAGTGATGTGGTTACTCCCCTCTCAACAATCAAAGAGAATTTGTTACAAGCCGGTTTATTTCCGGGTTGTGTTAAAGAATGTTATTGATGTGCATTCCAACCCAATGGCTACGAGTTATTGAAGGAAGGTGTTCAGCGCCTAGTGGATGAACTTCTAATTTTGATAGAGAAAGTTTTGTATGCTGAGAATTTATGCCAAGATTTGTCGGTCATATCTGGTACTCCTGTCAGGATAACTTCCAAGGGTCCTGTGAGGATTACCGCCAATCCAAAAGCTGCTCCTTTGATCATTACAACACCTGGACCCATCCCGTATTCCTTGGAAAAGGTTATTCCATGGAACTATGGATCCAACGTATACTACCACGGCGTCAAACAAGAATTGTCTGATGAAGATACTGAAGATGTTGATACCAACATTGACAATATTGCAGGGACCAACAAAATCACTAGAAGCAGAAGGATTTTCTCCCCGAAAATCTCTCCACCTATTAAAGTCATAGTTACCAAGTCAACTGCTGAGGCTCGGGGTAAAGAGCCAATGATAGAGCCTGCCCAGACAGAAACACCAAAAGAAACCACGGTCAAGGACACCTCTAGACAAGAGTTGTAAGAGGTTTTGAAGATCATCCGCATGAGCGACTATTAAATTATTGAACAGTTGGGGTAGACCTCGTCTAAAATCTCCATGTTATCTTTACTACTGTATTTTAAAGCCCATGTGCAGGCTTTAGTAAAATTCTCGGAGACTGATCATGTGCCGCAAGAGATTCTAGCTGATCAATTTGGAAGTTATGTGGCTAGCTTAAGAATTGATAATGGATTAGGCTTCTACGATGCTGACCTGACTCCAGAGGGGAGAAATCATAATAGGGCCCTATACGTCTCCATTGAATTAAGGGGCACTATGTTGGCTCATGTGTTAATTGATACTGGCTCTTCTCTAAATGTTCTACCAAAGGGCGCTCTTGACAAACTAGATTGTGAAGGGGTTGTGCTGAAGCCCAGTAATATCATAGTTTGAGCCTTTGACGAGTCCAGAAGAATGGTGCATAGAGAAGTGAACCTCCCAATCAAAGTGGGTTCACAGATATTTGAGTCCACCTTCTATGTAATGGACATATGGTCGGCTCATTCCTTTCTATGGACGCCCTTGGATCCATGGGGCAGGTGTTGTCACCTCTACCTTGCATCATAAATTAAAGTATCGTGTAAAAGGGAAGGTTGTTACTATCTGCGAAGAAGAGGAGTACACGGTCAGCCACCTGAATTCATTCCGGTACGTAGAGATGGACTGAGAATTTATCGAGACTCCCTGTCAGACCTTTGAAGTGAATTCCCATGTGTAGCGATAAAATCAATGAAGCCGCCACCTAGTATTTATTTATCCCATGAAATCGAAAGGAAAATCATCGAAGAAAAACCTAAAGGGGAAATCAAGGTCTTGCGACCGAGAGATTGGGTAAGGGAGTCGATTATGCAAGGGGAAGGTATTATCACCCCACACGTTCGTAGTACTCTACGATATCCACTCTTGTTGTTATAATAAAAGGGTGTGTTCAATATAATTTTTAAGAGTTATAAGCTAAGAGGGAATGCATGTAAAGAAAACACGGGGAAAAGAAGGAAATATTTACAAATTTTTGCTCGGTTGAGCCCCGAGACCAGATGCCTACGTATCCCTTTTAAGGAATCAGAGCACCGTAGTTCGGCTCACATATTTTATTTGTTTGTATTTTTTAAATGACCAATGTTGAATTCGATCATTCCACCGCTGCTCGACCTTTGGGGACTTACGGCCTGTAGTGGAAAGGAACTAACATGGTCTTAGAAGAGAAAAGTCGAATGGAGAAAAAAGTGGATTGATTGGTATTTTTTTACCATGAAAAGAATTTTTGTATGCTTAGCATTTTTTATACACCTGCCAAGAAAAAGAAGTTTTAGTTTTAAATGCAATTATGCAAAATAATAAGAAAACAACTGTGGGGAACTATCCTATCTCTAAGCTAATGTTATCATACAATGATTGACCCTAAAGTTGAGCTTAAAGGGAGATCTCCACCCTAAGTTGATATGCTTGGGTGACAATCTTAATGTCTATCTCAACTCATCATCTATAGATGAATCAAGAAGTCCTAAAGGAGCATAGCAAGGGTCTATCATCTCAAAACATACACACAAAGATGAAATCAGGCAAGCAGGCCAATAAGCTCAAGAGAGCACACCTAGAGAGATCCTATCTAGTTTAACATGCCAAAGAAAGTCTAACAAAACTATCCTATGGGGAACATACAATGAGAGCGAAGTCGTGATCTTAATTTCTAAATGAGTGACTCATCGATCAACAAGAAATAAAGGAAAGCGATAAAACCATATAGGGAGCATGCACTGAGAGCGAAGTCGTGATCTCAATTTCTAAACTGAGTGACTCATTGATCAACAACCAAAGAAGCAAACACAAGCACGACACATATAACAAATGAAGTGTGGAATGCCTGCTACAGGTCTTTAAACAACGACTTGGAGCGCACGCTCTTTATTTCCTACTTATCATGATATCTAGAAAGCAATAAAATGTGGAAAAATAAATTGGAAGAAGTGTAATACCAAATGATCAATAATGTCGTCTAAAAGTGCAACCAAAGCAAAGAAACCTGGAATACTTCGCGTGAGCTGGCATCAACAAAAAAACAGTCAGAGATCGAATATTCGAAATAGGTGTCGAAGCTTCATCAATGTGAAAACAAATCACAATCAATGAACCTACATAAGACTCAACTCAACATACAAAAGTGAACCACAAGTTTCAAGTAATCAAAAAATTAGGAATTAATTTCCTAAAAATCAAATGAGAAATCTAACAAATATTTATTGATTTTTGTAGTTTATTACCCTAAAAAAAGCGGCATTCCTAAAATCTATATTTTTTATTGTTTTTATTATATGTATTTTATTTATTATTTTTGTTATATAAAAAAGAGAAATTTAAACTAAACTAAAAAATCAAAATTTAAAAGAACAATGAATTAGAAAGAGCCAGGGGGTGTTAAACTAGATCCATAAGTGGCATACTGGACTGATAGTCAAACGCTAGGCCCAGCAGATATAGATCCAGAATATGCTCATTTTTTAATTTAACTTCAAGCTCCAAAAAATTTCATTGGGATTAAGAGTTTGGTCCATGTCTTTGATCCAATAACCAAATAATTTTCAATAATCTCTATCAAAACTCCATCCATTATCTATTGTACTATTGTTGAACTGAAAAAAAATGAAAACGACCCCAAACAATTGCGTTTTGCTATGTAACATAGGGTACACACAATTTTGTTTAGCTTCTTCAATCCAAATTCTCTTTGTTCTCGCCGCTCTACTTTTTTCCTTCCCTCAACATAACAGTGTTGCGACGGTCTTCCCTGTTTGCCGCCGCTTCAACACGAGTCCAACCTTACCTCTTCGTCCATTCTCACCGCAATGACAATTTAAACTTCTCTAATCACCACTGTGTCTCATTCATTCTATTCAAACGGCGGCGTACACCTCCTTCTCCGATCAAAAGCCGTCGTGAATCGCCATTAAGATGGCACACCATCTCAATACCACCATCCCTTCCTTCGTCTTCTTCTGAACCTAAATCTAATAGAAATTACAAAATCTAACTAAACATCAACCAAAATGAATCTGATACGATGCGTGGAATGAGTCACAGACTTAGGGATCTCATTCGACAGCGTGTAAACGATACCATAGTATAGAGAATATTGCGAGAAGAAGAAGAGAACGGCCTACCTACCGTAATAGCTTCGGCGGACCTTCAACGGTGATGACAGTCAAAGAAATATGGAATTAGCTACAAAATCCAAGTGATGATAACATCTTCCTCAGATTCAGAGTTCTACTCTTTATCGATAATGATTCGATGAAACAAAATTGTTACTTGTTGATGATATAGTGCAGAATAGATGCAATTGTAATGTTATGCGGTGAATAATCTTGAGGAAGATGCGATGATAATGAGAATGGTTGAAGGTTGTTAGATATGCCTGAAGATGATTGAACGTGGAGGATAATGATGCTACGCTGAATTTAGAGTGAGTACGGAGAAGCTTTCTTTCTGGTTTTTCATTGGATGAAGATAAAGAAGAGTGTGAAGATTCCAGATGAAAGAGACAATGGAGGTTGAAAGAAGGTGCATAGTGAAAGTTGAAGATGGAAGAGAGAGACAAAGTGAGTGTGGAAATTTTCTATTATTCTTGTTGTCAAAATCAATCGTGGAAAGTGAATCCCCCTGAAATCTGGAGGGAGCAGAGTACATATACTGGAGGGAGAATTCATCTGAACCGTTGGATTGGGAGGAGTTGGTTAGAAAATGAAGGGTGAGGTTGAGTCAGTTAGTCACTCTCTCAAATTTAGTTAGGACTTTGAATTCAGTTAGAGATTCTGTAAGTGATTTTAATTTCTCTTATAACAGTTTGTTATGAAACTCTATGATATTTTGAGTGTTAATAAGTCTTCCTGATTCTTCATCTTTTTTTGTTTACATGCCAACCGTCTTCTGAATAAAGTCACAAGAATTGAAGATTCGTGAAACCGTTAGAAGTTGAGTTTAACAGGGTTAGTTCACCACTAAAGCTGTGAGTTGAATTTGAACTGTGTAATTGTTTTTTTTTTGGATTCACGTTGGCTTTTGTTTTTAGTTTCACTATTTTTTCCTGATTTTCATTCTAGGACGATTTTTCTATTAGCATTCTTTTATCAGCATCCTTTTGTGAACTGGTTCATTAAAATGCAAGGCTTTTATGACTTTTGTAAACTGATTTATTATAGGTACAAATGTATGATTGAATCCCCTTTTACATTTCAGTGCAACCACTACATTTCAGCTTTGAATTCCTTCTGTTTTAATCATCTGGCCTTGAGAATTTACACGCATTTTGCAATCTTTTTTCTAATTTCTATTTTAATCAAACTTCAAACTTATTTTAAAACTATAAACAGACCGCTTATTGGAGAGTGACGCAGACTGATATTATGAACTAGTTTTCAGCTTAGACATGTTTGGATTGGAGTTAGCATGATCAAGAAATCCGAGATTATGGGAAATGAATGGGAACTTGACCATGAATATTGAATGGTTAAAGATTAGGATAGGTTTAGGTTCGTGTAATTTGTGAAATGCGTCTTTTAGGATTAGAATCAAATTTGTGAGACTCTCTTATTTTGCGTAAGGCTTGATATCTCTTGTAATAAAAATAGTTGTTGCAAGTGTAGTGACATGTATTATAACTTGCATTTTTGAAGAATCTTGAATGAATTATTGTATTGACTTAATGCTTGAATCATTGAATAGCTCTTGAACATAATCAAGTAGTTCCAAGATATTCCATACTTTCCATGACATCCTTGAATATTACTTCTCCTTATTTTGTGATATTCTCAAGATATTAATCCCTTGACATCATCGTGAACAAATGGCTAATCTTTGCAATATGGAATCCATACCATTTTGAGTGGACCTTGGTCAAAAGCCTTGTCTTGATGATAATGGATGAGTGAATATTGATTATTAAATGATGCTTGAATGAATCTAAAAACATCACTTGAATCCCATTTGAATTCTCAATTCAGATCCAAACAAACTTGCATGACAAGCAACAAACAATGGATACAATGATGAAGGCTTTTGTAATTCGGATTTTCGATGGTCCACTTGACTAAATTTTGAATTCAGATTATACTTTGAATTTGTTACTTGTAAATTATATTCAAACTAAACCATATGCATGAATTCCATTAAATCGATCTTGAAAGAAACATTTCACAATAATGAATCCATTCTATACTTCACTTTTCAAATTCAACTCTACTTGCAAACAATCAAGAAGTTGAAAAGATAACAAAGTCCTGATTATAATGAATCCTCAAGCTCCTACCATGATGCATATTCTCTCTTTAGCCAACAAATATTATGCTAAAAACCCAAATTCATACTTAATCACTTGACCAATATTATAATAAAAGGAAGACCCTGATTCAATCTTTAAGCCTCTTGAGAAGGATTGACTTGTGGTAAGTAATTAAGAGGAACCATGAATGACGTCGATGAAATCACAATAAGGAGCCAATAATAATCCTTGTATCCTTGAAGTCAACACCTAGCATGATGAAATGATGAACCTCTGTTGAAGATCTAATATCAAGCTCAAGCAAAAATTAGGAGAAACCCTGATTCTTTGGCTGAACTAAACCTTAGTGACTTTGTTCCTTAAAGAAACTCTAATGAAAAAAACCTTATATCTCGAGGAACGCTGCTAGCGAAGACGTCTGTGCTGCTTGAGATCCAAAACCATAATCTCATACCAAGAATGATGGTAGCCCCAGTTGAATACACTTTTAGTAATATGACAACCTCAATTCATAGGGAAAGAACCCTGATGATAACAGCCTCTTCGTTTGATCTCGTAACCTTAGAATCAATGATATGCATGATATATGTATGATGTAATGAGGGATATTAGGTACAAAATTGGGCTATAATAGTTTCCCTTATTTAAGTGTCTTCTATCCGGAGATACGAAGGTAAAAATCTTCGTCTCGACGCGATTGAAGATACTTAAATACAAAACGAGCCCTATTTTTGGCCCTAAGATGCCATGTGATGCTCGCGATTATGAATGTGAAATATTAACTTCATGAAGATGGGAAAGACACACTGGAGAAGCAAAAGTAAAATCAACAAATTAATAAAGAGAATTCAACCAGGAAAATAAATCTCCGGGGAACAACATGACTCTGGGGATAGAAATTTGCATCCATTGGAGACAAATCGACTCGGCTGAGAAAAAGAGGACTTAACTCTACTGGGGTAAGATCCAGAGAGGAGACAAAATAACATTCACTCGATAAAACAAGGAAAAGGTAATGGATAACAACTATTAACCGATAAATATGAAATATCCACTCATAGAGGAGATATCAAAAAGAGAGTCCCTCAACTCACAGGGAATTGCAATTGCTAAATAGAAGGGACGTGAACAGAGACGGTAAAGATAATACCGGATCATAGATGAAGATAAACATCAACATCTAGACTAGTAAGTGAATGATTGGTGTCAGTACTTATGCCTGGTAATCAAAGATTTGGCATCAACACTTATGGCTAGAAAAAACTCAACTCAATCGGAGTAAGGTCCAATGAGGAGAAAGAGATAAATCCCAACTTAAGAATGACGATGAACTACCAACTCAAAGCTGAAGGTAGAAGAAAAACATGGGACAATACCTACTTTTATTGAAGGTAAAGAAATAGAAGATACACCCAAGTTTAATGAAGGTGAACTACCAACTTTCATTGAAGGTAGATATATCAAGGATACACCAACTGTTACTGAAGGTGAGTTACTGACTTTTACTGAAGGTAACAAGAAAAATATACACCAACTTTTACTGAAGGTGACTACCGAATTTCACTGAAGGTAGAGATATCAAGGATACACCAACGTTTACTGAAGCTGAGTTACCAACTTTTACTGAAGGTAACAAGAAAAAGATACACCAACTTTTATTGAAGGTGACTACCAACTTCCATTGAAGGTAGAGATATAGAGAAAATACCAACTTTTACTGAAGGTAAAGATATCAGAGAACAATAATAAATTTCCCGAAATTCTGGCGTCCTACCTAGAACGGGTTTCAAAAAAATACAAGCTATCTCAAATAAAGAGACTACAACTTGCAATTATTTCACAACAAACTTCTCTTGGGAAACTTCTTCGAAGAGATACCATTTGATGGAGAATCAGATAAAATTCCCCTCGATCATGGCCATCAGCCATGAACTGGTCTCAGTTTCTTCTTTAACCAAAATATTGCACCTGGAAAGGGTAACATACAAGCTATCTCAAATAAAGAGACTACCACTTATAATGATTTCACAATAAACTTCTCTTGTGAGACTTCTTAGAAGAGATACCATTTGATGGAGAATCAGATAAACTTCCCCTTGATCCTGGCCATCGGCCACAAACTAGTCTCAGTTTCTTCTTTAACCAAGATATTTCACTTGGAAAGAGTAACATACAATCTATCTCAAATAAAGAGACTACCACTTATAAAGATTTCACAACAAACTTCTCTTGTGAAACTTCCTCGAAGAGGTGCCATATGATGGAGAATCAGATAAACTTCCCCTCGATCCTGGCCATCAGCCACAAATTGATCTCGGTTTCTTCTTTAACCAAGATATTTCACCTAGAAATGGTAACATACAAGTCATCTCAAATAAAGAGACTACCACTTGTAACAACTTCACAATAAACTTCTCTTGTGAAACTTCCTCGAAGAGATACCCTTTGATGGAGAATCAGATAAACCTCTTCTCAATCCTGACCATAAGCCATGAAATGGTCTCAGTTTCTTCTTTAACCAAGATATTTCACCTAGAAAGGGTAAAAAATACAAGATATCTCAAATAAAGAGACTACCACTTGCTGTTTAAGAAAGAATTATAATAAGACTAGTGAGAAATGAAGCTAGATTTTATGGGGGAATACTAATTCATTCCTATTGAGGAGAAAAAAGTCTTTGCGTGCAAAATAAATGCACCTTCAAAAACCAAATCTCAGGGCTTGCAGAAATCGGAATAATAATATTACCGAGGACCACGGATTCAAACCAGAAATAAACTAGAATGAAACAAGTGACCAAAATAGCACCTAATGAGAAATAAACTCGAGAGGGGATCACATTCCATCCAGATAATGAACTGAATAGGAAGGCTAAAGAAAAATTCTTCCACGAGAGATAACTCGGTTAGAAAGTTGCCAGGATATACACTTCTATTTAAAGTTGACGACTCTATTGGAGAGAGAGTAGCATAACTTTGAAAAGAGGATAATATGCTGGAAAAACATCAAAGAATGCAAATGAGTAATGAACTTTAAATTCATCTATGCATGATGTGTATGAATGTATAAATGTTTACCGTATATGCTGACGAAATAACTAATGCACTAGGGATAACCAGACAAACTAACTTGGGTGAAGACGACACTCGGCCAAGTCACATCCAAGATGAAGGTTCCAATTTCACAAGAGGGTAATCATCAACTGAGGAAACAAAGTCCTATTTCACGGCTTAACTTCACTTGGAAGAACATGGCTTGGAAACAATCAAAGCACCACCTGACCAGCAACAAATTAAGTTGTGGGGATAAAATAAACTCCTCTAGGTTTTACCCGCGGATGTCATACAGACTTCGACAGGGGAAGATAATGCTTCATCGTCTGGACTTCACCTAGAGATTCCAACACTAACTTCACTAGGGGAAGTGAAAACCACATTGTCGAGACTTCAACTGGGGATGTCAAACATACCTCACTGGGAAAGATGAAAACCACATCGTCGAGACTTCAATTAGGGATGCATGCTAATTTCATTGGGGAAAAAGAAACCGCACACACTGAAGAGAGCCCAAATATAGTATTCAATATTAATAATAGTTGTGAAAACTTCTCTGGAGAGAAACCATGAAATTTCATGGGATAACAAATTTAGAGGGAAGCGTCATCCTCGACTCATCTAGAGAATTAATAAGTTAACATCTTAATAATAAGTCAGCTCACAGGGATTTTAAATCAAACTCAGCGCACAACGAGAGAAAACCCAAGTAGTTGAATTCTATCTCAAAACTTCTTAAAAGGTATATTGCCCTTGTCTGGCTGTTTGGAAGCACCCCACATCAACAATGTCATGACTGGAGATCGTGATATCTTGCAAGATATTCTACATCGATTTTCAACACAAAGGGAGAAAAAATATAACAACTAAGCAAATGTTTCATAACTTTGCAACCTCTGCTTGATCACCACTTGCCTGCGGAAAGAAATCACACTCAGTCGAGGAAGTCTGCATCAATACTTGATTGGGGAATATGGTATTACAAACCTGACATTAGATAACAACTTAGAGAAAATATGAACCAAGACTTAACTGGGGAAGAAAATGGGATTGCAAAC